GGCGCAGCCTGCCCTGGCGGGCCTGGGGAGGGGCGCGGCGGGCGCTGCGAGGTCACCCCGCCCGGCGCCCCGACTCGGGCTGCGGGCAGAGCCCGAGGTGAGCCGAGGCCGACGCAGGTGGAGCGGAGGCAGAGGGAGGCGAGACGCTCTCACGCGGAGCTCCGGAACTCTCCAGGACCGGTCGGCCGGGACGCAGGGCTGAGTTTCTGGCTCGCCCAGGGCTGGATGTGTTTCCGTAGCAGAGCTTCGCTCCTGCGGCCACTGCGCGCCCGCGGCTTCTCCCTAGGACCTTGGGGGCTCCGCGGGGCGCAGCGCTCCTCCGAGCTGCGCTGCCCCGGGGCGGAGAACCGGGCCAAAGTCCCACGGCCCGCGGGGCAGCCGCGCTGGGAAGCCTGGGTCTGGCTTATCTTTGCATTCGTCGGGGTAGCGAGGACAGCGGGGCACCTCCCGGGGATAGCGTTGCTCCCAAGGAAAGAGATCGAGGCGACCGCCTTGACAGTAAGTAGCCGCTCTTGCAGCGACTGGTGGCGCTTGCTTTCTCGTGTTACTTTTTACTTTTTTTCCTCCCCTCAGTTTCTTTTTCTGTTGCTCTGGGTAGTGAAGACTGACGGGCACGGGGCGAGGGGTGACGGGGTGCGCATCTGCGCTTGGAGCGCGCGGCCCCTCCCAGCCCGCGGCGTACTCCGCGCCGCTTGCCCTTCTGGCCCCAGCCGGTCCCGGAGCCGGAGGGCCTGGCTCCAAATCCCAAACCTGGAGCGCAGGCTGGGGATGCGATGGAGAAGCAGAAGCCAAAGCCAGGATGTGGGCTGCCGGAGGTGTCGGTGCGCGCTGCGCTCAGCGCACAGGTCTTATATCTCAGCACCCCCGCGGAGAGGGTGTCCGAGCCTGCTCATATTCCACAGCCCTGCCTGGGGTCGGGAGGAGCGTCCACCCTCTCCACCCTCCACTTTGCAGAAGCAGCCCTACCCTTCTTCGTCTTGCCCTGCCTTGCCTTGCCTAGCTTCGCCTTGCCTTGCGCGAGACTCGCTCCTCCCCTTCCCTCGGTGTTATCCCAGGCTATTTTTATCCACAACTTCTGCCAAGAAGCTTTTGGGGGGATCCTGGGGAGGCGGCTCCAATTGTACTGTCTGCAGGCTGAGCTCTCTCAAGCAGTCTCCTGCTTGAGACCTGAGGCAAAGGGTACCCACGGGAGCAGTTTAGCGGCGAAAGTCAGTCCAGGCTCCCTGAGCAAAGCAGCTGTGACCACGGGCTCACCTTCACCTCCTGGCACTAGGCGCCCGCGTGGGCAGCCGAGGCTCCTCGGTCCTGGGTGTTTGGCCAGCCTGCGGGGCTGCAGCCGGGGCACACACAGGATCCTCGGTCCCAGGCTCAAGTCCTCCTCTACAATTACACCTTACCTTGTTTTGTAGAAATGCAGTGGCCAGCATCCTCCAAAGGGTAAATTCCAGGTATTCTATATTTAAACAAAAATTAAAGAAGGGAGAAAGAACTCAACTTCTGCCTCTTTGGTTTTCTAAAACGCCTCCTTCAGCTTTCAGAATTATTCTTGCTTTCTGCTTTCCCGGCGACAGTGGGTGCAATTAGAATAAGCCTGACCTGCTGAAATTCCAGGCGAAGGCTGCCGCAGCTGCAGATCCCCGAGTTACCCTCTTCTCTATGTTTCCAGTGCTTAGATTTTTTGTTTCCCCGCAGGACTGCAGAAATAACATATTGAAATGGACCGCTGTGTTACGTAAGGTTGGCTTTTTTTCCAGCGCTAGGCAGGGAAAGGTCCGCTTCTGAAGGTTCCTTTACCCATCTAACTCTTTCAGCTGAGTTTGACAGGGCTGGACAACTTCATGACGAAGCACTCTTAAGTGAGAGCAGTTAATTACAACAGCAGCCTCGAATGGGGATCAGTGAGTGAGGCTTTGGAGCTGTTTCCGGATTGCTGTGCGCTGTGAGGCTGCTGGGTCTACCATTCACCACAGCTTTAAATTGGGAGATTTCTCCTGGGGAAGCGCGTGAGAAAGTGGTGCCTTGGACTTGCAGATGGCCATGTGAAGGAGCCAGGGCTCCTCCCTCAGCCCGTGGTGCGCCTGGTATGAAGCCTTATTCCCCTGCTCCATCCAGGGGCCTTGCAAGGAAGTTTGCTTAAGAGCCCCTCTTAAAGCAAAGGGCTTTTAGGACTCCACAGTATGCATGGGGCTTGTGCTGACATTGTCAAAAGAAGAAATTCTCCTCCTAGAGAAATCCCAGGGGCTTTCTGAAGGGAGAGCCATGTGGGAGCTTTATTGTCTTGAATTAAAAGTTGGTGGTGAGTAGGAAGACAGACTGGCTGGTACAAATTGCTTGGTAGTCTACACTCCCTGTCTGAGACCAGGGGATCTACCCTGGCCTTGTGAGTCCACCGTGAAGGCTGAGTCTTGTTCTCTCCTGGAGGCTACGGTTTCGGGGGAGGAGCATGGAAATGTGGGGATATTCTGATGGAACTCGGCCTGTGCCCAAAATCAGTGCTTGTACATGGGTTCCAGGCCTGCTCCTAAGCCATGGTCCCCGGGTGAGACACTTGTGGCTGGCGTATAGCAGTTTCCTGGCTGTGCTGAAGCGCAGTAACTTTCCGTCTATCGCAGGAGGAAGTAACTTTCCAGCTGGGGTAAGCAAAGATCAGGGTTATTTCCCATAGGTTTGGGGTGACTGTGATCCCTCACTCTGGCTCCATGGGTGAATGCCTTCTATTGAGGCTGCCCCTCTCCTCATAGGGGAGAGTAAGAGACTTACAACTGCGTATGAAGCCAACTTCTTGCCCAAGACTAAAGGCAAACTGTCCCCCTCTGAGCCTCCCATGCAAGCCTGATCTCTGTAAAATAGAGACTGATGCATTTTTGGTAGAAAGTGACAAAATGCATGTGAAAAGTATTTGGATGATTATAAGACACTTGTGAAAGTTTGGAGTTATTTAATATACCCTTCCTGTATTGTAGTTTCTGTCTCCCTAATGTTCATGCAAATCGCAATTTGGGTGTAAATGAGTTAATTATGAGGCTGAACATTAAATGAAGGAAAGTATATCTTTGCATAGTTTCTTCTTGTGATCAAAAATTCTTTCAGCACTAGGTCTCACAGAATTATCATTCTCTTATTTTTAGGATCAGGCTTAAATCTTAAACGTCTCTTTTTATTTTTTAACCTAGTGCATGACATCTGTCTAAAGAAAATCTGTTTGGAGGGAGGACTTGATATCCGTGTATCAAAAAAGCAGGAGATAAGTTGTGGATAGGTGAATCACTTGGAGAACGGAGAGTGATGACCAGTGTCATGAGATGACCTACGCGTCTCTTATCTAAATCTGACCAGAGCGCTAGCACTCTGTCGGCATTTTAACTGTTCATTTGCTAGATGTTCCTTGGAAAAATGTGTTGGAAAAGTGAATGAATGATTGAACCGAATCTTCAAGCAACCCTGGAGAACAGATGACGGCATTTCTATTTTAAAAATTGGGACACTGCAGATTAAGAAGCTTCATTAATTTTCAGAAGGTGCAGAGGATCCAGATTGGGATTCAGATCTGCCTGTTCCCATTGCACTGTGGGTACGGTTCAGCTCATAGTGGTTGCTTGTCCATCAGCACTGGAAATCCTACTGAGTAGTGGGAAGGTGCCCGGCAACCATACATCTTATTAGGGGGCACCAACTTCCTGCTAGAAACAGATGTTTGGCTGGGGGGTGGGGCCCCTCCTCCTTGCATGTATCACCCATCTCTGAACCTAGGCTCAGTTGCAAGCTCCCATCTGGCGTCTGGAATCTTGAGGGAGTGGCAGAAGGACACGGGGACAGCGGGGTGTTTACTGCCTTGTGTCACCAACCAAGCAGTGGCATCGGCAGCGGCACGGATGTCCCGGGACGTGGTCCCTGTGGAGCGGTTCCTTTGGCACCATCTTGACATCATCCCTGGACGCTGGTTCCCTGCATTCCTTCTCACTTTCCAGCCTGGCTTCCCAGCATCTCAGCAGTTTCTAGAGGCAACCTCTGTTCTTCAGGAAACCCTGCTGCTCCCCAAGCCGGGCAGCCTTGCAACCAGCCGATGCACAGAGCCTCCAACAATTCATCTTCGGGGCTGCCTCGGGCACGAAGCATTCTCAGCTTCCTCTCCCCATGGGGAATTAAGGCCATAGCTTTTTGGGGGCTGTTAGAATAATATTTACTGGGCCATAGTTTGTCAGTAGTTATGTGTTACCACGAGAGGTCTAGAAAAAATGAATACATTATTCTTCCAAGGAATAGCGTGAACATAAAGGAAATGGATCCCAGCGGGCATCTTTTCTAATTTTTTTTTCCTCTCTATTGCATGCTTTTTGATGCTTTTCCAGCAGGGGTCGCAGACTCAAATGCCTTCACTGGCCAGGCCAAGAGCAAAGAAGCAGCCTATGTACAACTGGCTCAGCCTGGGTCAGGGGACCCTGCAGCTTAGACCTCTACCTCCACCCCTGAAAGGCGGCAGGCAGGACCTTAGACCTGGCCTAGCTGGGCCTAATTGTTGATTTTTCAAGACAGACTGTAAGTTCACACTTCCGTGTGGAATCTACAGGCTTCTGAGTGCCAGCACCTTAGTGCAGTGTTTCCAAATAGCACCCTGTGGGTGTGATAGGACACTGCTGTATTCCGACCTCCTCTCTGTCCCTCAGGCCTCCGATTTATGGACTGTGGTTTCTGGGAAGAGAAAGGCAATTTAGTTAGAATTGAGGAAGATTTAGGAGAATCGGTTACCCAGAACATCCTGGCCAGAGCGTCAAGCGTGTGGGTTCGGAAGTGTTCTAGTCAGCTACTCTCTGTGCTGTTAGAGTCTTCCTTTTAATCTGCCTGGGACGCTTCTTGTCCCTGCCAGAGTGAGCAGTTAGAGAGCTCACATTTACTCCTTCAGCACATGTTTATTGAGTTCCAGCCTTGTACCAAGTACTGTTCTGCTCATTGGTGGTGCGGTAGGGAATAAAACAGATGGAAATCCTTGCTCTTGCATTTATCCTTAGAGAAGGACACCGACTAAAAACAAGGGAGATAAATAAAACCTCTGTTGGTTAGACAGTGATGTTCTAAGGATTAGAAACAAATCAATCAGGGGAAGGCAATATGAAACGGCACTGTGGTATCAGGCACGTAGCCAGGAGCCTGCAGTCTGGTTTCTGGCTGAGCATAACCAAAATCAGGTTTTCGTGTCTAACTTGAAATATGTTTTGACGTGAGAGTTTGGAGTCTTGATTGTATACTGGAAGTTACAATTGTGAGTTAGTCCCTGATGTTGGCCTAGAGTCTCACTTTTAATGAAAGTGACTGTTGAATACACCTTTCAAGATTTGCTGTGTTTTGGGCATTGCGTTATGTGTTAGAGTGAAGTGATGAACCAAGTCTCCACTGATGATAGGATCCAGGCATACCGCTAGCCAAAGAGCACAGAGATAAACTGTGTTGTTGATAGGGCAGTCATCCAGGAGATTGAGAAATGGGTGAAAAATGCATAATGT